ATGCTTTTATACGTTTTTATAATAACAATGAAGTTACATAGATGCCGATTTTCCTGTTTGTTAATTCCTAATTCTTAATTCCTATGGGAGCAATGTAATATTGTCGTCCGATTTTTATCAAATAAAAACATTACTTTTAAGTTTGTAAAAACTATTATATCTCAGTGTATATGCGTAAATTAACGAACCCTAATAAGGCATCACCGAAACTGCTAGTATTATTCATCGGTTGATGGGTTAGAAATCAGAGTTGTATGATGGATTCTGTAAGATGGATCCTCTTTCAGGCAATGGTATGCCAAGTTCGTGCAGCAATACAAAAAACTAACGACGCTTAGTTAAGAACAAAATTAAGGATTCACTGGAGATTTTGTACAAACCCGATTTGCATTTATATATTAAGAGATAAAGTAAGTCCATGTAGGCTTATCGATGTTTTATGTCAACAAATATTACAATTTAAGATAATAGATAATTTAAACAATATTACTTTCCAAAAAGTTATACTAGAACAATTCTTTAAAATAATTTTCTTCTTATATACTATTAATTTTAAAAATTGCTCAACTTATGTTTTTAGTAACAACAAAATCAGCCAGCATACTAAAAGAGTTTTTCATAAAAACTTTAAGCTACAAACAAAATAAACGGTTTTTTTCGTGGCCCTTTCATCTTGTTTGGAACTAATGTTAATGTTACTTTTCACAATTTACAACTTCATTAACGCTTTTAAAGATCGCAACTAGTCATAAAATTTCATTCATGAATTGTAAAATATTTGGATATATTGTGGTTGATTCCCAACGCTTGGATTCTTTGATCGAAATATGCTGCATCATGATCAAGATGCCGGGATGAATGAATCAGAAAGTGAAGCATAAATCAGAAACGCAGAAAGCAGAAACCAACTCCTATCAGTTGGAACTCAGTCTCCCCTTTTGTGCTGCATCATTTCCATTCCCCATGCGGCATTATCCTGTGGCCGAAAACGTGGCCAAGTCGCCGGCCCGAGGTGTCGGCTGTAAGCTAATTGGAAGCGTGTTCAAAGGTGCCGCCAACAAATTAAGTATGAGTTACCAATTTAGCTTTTATATCTCTATCGCACACGCATACATGCCCATTGAGCGGCACATAGATACACGTACACTTGGCAGGAAGAGAGATGCGGATGTTGGCCGAGTCGGGCCTCTTGGACTCTTGGCCTCTTGGGGGTTCCTCTGTTGCTCGGTTTCTCCAAACTGGTTCTGGGCCAGCTCTCACAACTAAGTTGTAATTGCAGTTCTTTGATTGCATTTGTGTGCAAAGCTGAATTGTTTACATTTATCATAATCAGCACTCCAGTCGTTTGTAACCGCCGCGAGGGTAACTTTTCATCTTTTGGCAACGCGGCGCCAGTTAAACTGGAACTCTGACTTCGAGATGCAGATGCATCTGCATCTGCATCCCAGACTGGCACTTGATGTAGGTCGCTCGCCGGGCTTGCCTGTGAGTATCTGTGTGCCAGCACTTGATCACCTGACAGGGGAAACGTTGAGTAATTGCTGACAATATGGCTGAGCAGGGAAGACAACAAGGATCGGACAGTCAAGATGAGGACTGGGTCCCCTGAAAACCCCAAAGTTTATCAAGTTCGGGTACCTGCTTTCACGCATTTATTTGTTCGTTTTAAGATCTAATCAGGATGTTTAGAGATATATTTGTAAACCCGTCTTAAGCTGAGAAGCTAATAAGCTGAACCAATAACATAAGCAAAAGAAAAAAATTATATGTACTTCTTAAAGTATGGACTATGTATAAAATATATTTTGTGATGGAACTAAAAAAATAAAGCACCATTATGTTTGTTTTTAAATAAAACGTACGCGTACTTTTCTAAGAGTACACAATCTAAAAAGTTCACAATATAAGCTATTACTATTTTTTTAAGTGAATAATTTAGAAGACTTAGTTTAAATTTTTAAATATTGCGGTATTTCAACTACATCTCTATATATATTGTATATATATTCTTGATCAGCCTCACCAGGAGAGTCGATCTAGTCATGTACTTCTGCCCGTCCGTACGTCCGTCCGTCTGTCCGTCCGTCCGTCAGTTTCTACGCACACTAGTCACTCAGTTTTAAGGCTATCTGCTTCAAACTTATTTAAAAGTTGTCTTTATTGCAGGTGGTATATAAGTCGGAACGAGCCGGATCGGGCGACTATATCATATAGCTCCCATAGGATCGGAAAAAAAATTCAAAAAAATTATAACTTTGTTGTTTTTTATTTTTTTTTTTCTTGTTCTTTGGGATTTGTTAAGAATTAAATATTATGGAATTACGGTTTTGATTAAATTAAAATCGGGCCACAATATCATATAGCTGCCATAGAAACGATGGCAAAATGCAGCGCAGGATCGACATAGCTTCATTGTTTTTAGTAATATAGGCAAAAAATCGAAAAATAGTCGTTTGTAATACCTGCAAGGGAATATAAACTTCGGCTTGCCTAAGTTTATTTCATTTCTTGTTAATTTTTTTTTGTTTTTTAAGATTTGGTAATTTTTTAAAAAATTTATTTTGCTGTTTTTCTATATAAAAAAATATTCCTTCGAGATATAGTAATTATTTACTATATCAGAATTAAGCATTTAGTTTTGTCAAAATCGGACAACCTATATGATAGGTGTCATAGAAACGATGGCGAAATGCAGCCAAAAATCGACATGGTTTCATTGTTTTTGGTAATATTGGCATAGAAATATAAATGTAGTCGTTTTGTAATAACTGCAAGGGTATATAAGCTTCGGCTTGCCGAAGTTTGCTTCTTTTCTTGTTTTATCATAAAATACCTTCAAAACAACCCTATGTATTTGTTTCCGGTTGCAGGGACCCTATTAACATAATTTATTTTGCGATTAATTCTGAATAGCTTCCATCTAAAAAAAAATTATTACATTGTGTAATAATAATACCCTCTGCCAAGGTATATACATATATATTATTGGTTTTATTATATTATTTAAAACATTAAAATAACCGCTTATAAAGTTAATTGTCTGAATGCTTAAGTTACAAATATATAATTTCACTTTCCATTTATACAGTTAATTGTCTGAATGCTTATGTTACAAATATATAATTTCATTTCTTATTTATATTGAACTCGGGAGAGTGTTCAACTATTAATTCAATTACTCAACTATTTAACAGGCCAAAGATTTTCAGCTTACCCAACGCCGTATTCATGGTAACAGAGATTTTCTCGAGAGATTTTTTTTCCGGCCCTATTAAACTGGGTTGTAAGGCTCATGAGGCACTTCCACTTACTGTGCGGTAGGTTCATTAGTCATTTTTAGTTGACTCGATTAATGGTTTTCGACATTTACGCATTTCTGTTTGTTTTCACGGAAGTGCCCAGAGGTTTTCCCATAATTAGAGCCCGGTACAGTTTACCTGAATTTGCCCGGCAAATTTTCTCAGCTAATAAAACAAATGCCACCGGTAATGGCATGGTAATTTGTACTGCAACTCAATTTCAATTAAATGCTGTTCGGCGATTATTCCGGTCCCTTTCCACATTAATAATGCCCAAGATCCAGTAATTAGGAGATTTTGGGGTCTCCTAAAGTTTTTATATCGCGGCACATGCGTTGCATTGTCACACTTTTGGAAATGAAAATAAATAGCTCTTAGTCGAGATTCGGATATGGATCGTCGATCTGCATCTCATCTATATGCACAAGGCTTTTCCCATCTAGTTTACGAACTGTGAGAGACAGGGAGTGGATTTTGGACGGACCAGTTGGTCGAATCGAATCGGTATCGGCATCATTAGCAGCTGAATTGATAGCTTGATTATTCAAATGATTAACAAACGATCGGCTGTTGGCCAAGTTCGTTGGGTTCGCTCGAGAGAGTCCAAGTCGCGACTGAGATTGATAGCGCACTTCAGTCGCGAAGAGCTCTCAGGTCATCTTCTCGGATTGAAAAATGTGTGCGCCGCTGGCGATGATGGGCGCCCTTTGAACTTTGCCGCAAACGGTAGCCACAGAGCAGTCGGCTTCCAGTTGGGAATTTATGAAAATGATCGCTTCGAAAATTAATAAATATCGAAATAATTTCGATTAAATTTCTTATGCAAATTAGCGCCGTGCGCAAATCTGCAAAGCCAGTCACATCACCACTCGGCTTTGCACACTTAAAAGTGTTGTGTTTTCGGTTTGAACATTTTACCTAACTCGTTTTCGTTCGTGGCAAGTGATTAAATTAATAATTAATTAGTTTGAATTTATGAATAACGGTTGTAAATAATCATTAATAAAAATTAAAAAAGATTTCTTTTATTTTAAGGCTCTCTGCCAGTCAGCACTGCTTTAACAAAATACGTATCAACATCATTAAGATGGATCGGGCACCAAAATATTCAAATTAGAACTGGGATCCAGATCCACATATTCGAATTGAACTCACCGACACAGGCCAAATGGAAGCTCTCGTTGGGACTTAAGCATTGTTTGCTTAAATATGCTTAAATTTATTGACAACAATTTGCGGTCTTTTGTATCTCCCTTTGTTCGCCTCAAATTATTAATTGGAGTGAAACAGATTTCGCTTTTTGAACGCTAATTGGTTGGTATATACAGCATTTCAAACTTTTTTATTCGTGTTTTTTGTAACTTGAATCACTATCATTTTTGTGGACAATCCATTATTATACAAATATAGGAGGCTACCTGTTACGAGATACGGAAACTTTAGAAACCAATGATAAAGAATGGGAATCTCTTTATCCTGAGAATTGTCTTAACATTGGAGTGTTATTTTAAATTAAATAAATAAATGAAATATCCCATTTATTGTCTAAGACTATGGTATTAAACAAAAACAATGCACAATGCAAATGATTCGCTTTTGAAAAATATTATTTTTGTACTTTTTTTAAGTTTAGAAAATTTGATGAACTCTTTATGGATATATATGGTGGCTCTTAAAAGAGCCGATTTGCGTTGATTTTAATCGATGTGATCCTGGTTTTGGAGCCAACGTCTTGTTTTGACTGCTTCCATTTCCACTTTCTTTTCCGGTTTTGATTGTTATGGCTTGTTTAATGGGCCTAAATAGAGGCCTTGGTCCTGGCTGGTTTTTCTCCTTTTGGGGTTGGCAGTGAATGTTGCCTTTGCCCTCTTTGTTTTGGCCTTGGAAGCTGCTAGGTGTGTCCTGGAACTTCCTTTGGCCGTCTAATGCTCGGGGAAAATCCGTTGGGTGAAAATCAAGTTCCCAACTTCCCTGGCACTCGACTCAAAATTAAACAAAATACTCGACTCCTCGTTGCTCACTTTCTGTACCAATCATTAGGTTGTCTTGGCGGTTCGGTGCGCACCGGGCCATCATCTCATTTGGGCGGTGCCCCTCCCATTGGAACGGATCCTGGCACAGGAACCACCATTCCGGCAGCGGCCGCTGCAGCGGCCAATCCCACCATATCCGCTTCGTGCATTGGTTTCTTTTTCAGAATGCTCAGATCGTTTACATTCTCCAAAAAGGATTTATGGGCGGAAAAAACCTTGACGCTATCAAAGTCCTTTTTCAGCTCCTCGATATCACGCTTCTGCTTGGCCCTGCGGTTCTGGAACCAAGTGATCACCTGGGCATTAGACAATCCCAAAGAGGCGGCGATCTCATCGCGATCTGCTGGCGACAGGTACTTTTGGTAGAGAAATCGTTTCTCCAGCTCGAAGATCTGGTGATTGGTGAAGGCGGTACGAGACTTGCGCTTCTTCTTCGGCTGCGGCCGGTTCGAGAAGATGTCCAAATGGGATTTATCTAAAATTTAACAAAAAGTAGAGACAAGTAAATAAATATAGTTCTTTAACTAAAATACTTCAATTTAATTAATTATAAGCAGCTGTTTAAACACTTAAGTAAATTGTGCATACATTTTTGCAAAAACATTTTTCTCAAATAACACATGTTGTTGAAGTTGTTTAATCCAATTGTGGGTCCTCTACGATTAATTCCGAGATGCCTGGCAATCGGCAAACAGGTTACTAACAAGCGACTGTGCTTTTGGTTTTAATTGCCAGCCAGACAAGGCGAGTGTTGATTTAGGTGCCGTGATTGATACATTTTGTGAATACAATCGCAATTGCAGTAGCAATTCTAAGATTTCAGATCGCAGAGCTCTGCTCTCGACTTGGAGTGTATAATTTCAAGTTGATTGATTGCGCGAGTTGTGGGCGTTGGCTTGGTAAATCTAATGACGCTCACAGCTTTCTCAGCCTTATGCAAGGCAGCTGCTCATTTGTCTCGTTTGTAGTGTGATTTATAATAATTATTGACACCTACAAATCAGTTTTAAGTGGTACTTGTAGCCAGGGCTTGATTAATGAGCCACTGACCCGCACTTAAAGCGCTGATTGAGATTGCATAACGTTTCCTGGTGCAAAATCCCATATGCGGTCCCAATCAAAGCGATCGGAGATCAGCGTTCAGGTCGCGATCATCAGCATAAATATTAACTTATTGAATATTGGCCAACCGGTTCGCCGGCGGATGGCTTCACACCCATTGTGATTGCTTGTCAAACAAACTAGATCGACATTAAAAACTAATTAAATGCCCTCCAACCGAATGAAAACGAACTCCACGGAGTGTGTGGGTAAAACCGTTTTATATTCGAGATGCATAATTTGGTCATTTGTTATCTCGAGCACGTTTCGTAACCCAAAACCCATTAGGCACTTGACTGCCGCCTCCATTTCTCCTAGCCTTTCTTCTTTTTTATCTGCAGCTATTTTTTCTTATTTGTTTTTATCGGGGCTCATTAAGTAATTTCTATGACTTATCTTTGGAGAAAGGGAAATGAACAGGCCACTTGGGTATCCTTTTCTCTCTCAGGTGTCCACTTACAAGGCATAAATATCGCCCTTGGTAAGGGGGAGTTTTGTTTTGGTCGGATTGTCAGTCTTGCCTGTCTAATATGTTTTAGAGTGCAAGGGAAACCTGATCGATTTTCGAGGAACCTTCGAAGCAACAGTTGGCCGCAGGGATTTTATGTTTTAATTTGGCGCGAGTACTGGGAATTGCAATTAGGATTTGGCCAGCCAAGGCGACAAAACGTCTGGCATTTATTTTACGGAGAAAAAATAAAACCAGTTGATACAACCACAAAATGAGTTGATGAAAAGTGTACATTACTTTTCAATGTAAAGGTACCCCCACTCTCTGGAGTGTTACCAATATGTGGGATTTATATCTCTGCACTTCTCATAAATCAATAGAATCTCATACCCTCACAGCTGCTATCGCCCTGTATATACTTCCTTCAATGGACTGCTGATAGACAAACGACGGCTCAATTCTTTCTTATTTCGTCTTCGAGTTATACAATCTATGACCAACAGTAATATGTGTATTTTGTCAACTCGGTACAGCCTTATACAACGATCAAGTGTCTCCGCTAATCGCTCGTTCAATGTATTTTAAAGCATGTTTATGACTAGACTTAAACCCGCTTTATAGCCGGGGCTACAGTTTGTCAGCCATTAATATTGAGTAGTAACAAATGGAAACGGCATGTTAATTGTTCGGCGAGGAGCCGCAACAGCAAAACTCGATTAGGTAATGCACCAGCCAGCTAATTGTTGCTAATCGATGCAGAATCGACACGACTACACAAATATTCTAATGTAGACAGCCGGGACAATTAAGCATTAATTGCCATGAAATCACAGTGGAGTGCGGACAGTACCAAAACGCCCACCAAATGCCCTTGTATGAGTAACAATTTGACTTTTATGACGGGGAGAAGGGACTTTACCAGCCAAATGCAGTCAATGGAGTTCGTTTCCGATAACCATATAACCAAAGTTGAAGACCAAAATTCTTTTCTCCATGAGTAAGCGGTATTTTATCGACAACTTGTTCCATTTGTTTCTGTCTGACACTGGCGCATGCTGCCAATTAATTAAAAGCCCGAAATCGAATCGATTCAGAAATTTACATAACAGAAGACTCCAAATGGCGGCACACGGGGGAATACAATCATTTATTTCAATTAAACGAAATTTGAATTTGCCGATTGATAAACGGCAAACATCATAATAAGCCTAACATTAAGCTGACCAATTTCAAAACAATGACACACTAGAAGCTTTTACTCGCGTAAATTCATATATGCCACAATTAAATGTTTTATAACTCGAAAAACTATTTTTTCTTAATTTTAGAAATCTATTTGAGATGCTTACCTTGTGACTCGTCAAAATCCTTGGTGGTCATCTGGAAAAGTGCATCCAGAGGAGTCCCGTTGGCCTTGGCCTTGGCAACGGCGGCCGCATTGCTGGCACTACTCGCCGCTCCTCCTGGTCCGGCCGCTCCTTGCGATGGGCTGGACGCACTGGTGGCTCCGCTGGTTCCGGCCTGAGCCGTTGACTGCGGGCTGTGGCTTCGGCGGACACTGGCAGCGGATGCGGCAGCAGCGGCCGCCGAGTCCCTGGCTATCTCCGGCGAGCAGCAGTCGCTGGCCGCCGAACTGGAGCGGTCCGACCCACTCTCCGACGGAATAATATCCATGCCCATGTGGCGCAGCAGCTGGGCCTGGGCGTTGAAGTGCTCCTGCAGCTGGCGGTGGTAGTCTAGGGCCAGGCGCTGCTCGTAGTGCAGTAGAGCGGAGGGGATAAAGGGGCGCACGGGCATGGCCGGACCCAGGAGATGATCCCACGGCCGCACAATCTGTCCGCCGGGCAACAGCATTGCAGCTGCAGCCGGATGAACTTCGAGGGGTTCCGTTCGAGGCTGTAGTAGTCCGCCGGATGAGGCCACATGCCGGGAAGCGGGTGGAGCCAGGAGGTTCGAATTGGGAGTCGGCGAAACTGACTCCTCGCGCTGCTTCTCCGAGTGACCCAGAATATCCGCAATGGAGAAGCTCTTGACGCCTTCGATGGCCGACTTGGTGGTGTTAATCTGGGACTCTGGAACTGGTGGCGGCGGACTAGGCGTGTGGTCACGTGGCTCCGAGGAGGACGAGGACATGCGCAGACGCTTCAGGGGCTGGAAGTAATCCTCCGGCAGATTGCCGACGGCACTCCGGCTGAGTCCAGAGGCTGCTGCAGCTGCTGCTGCCGCGGCCGCAGCATGGTGCTGCATCAGCAATTGCTGCTGCTGCAGCAGATCGATGGTGCTGGCCCGCGGATGCTGCAGCTGATTCGGATGGTGCTGCGTGGGCAGCGGGCTGGGGGCTCCGCCCACGGAGATTTCGGATTCGGCGGGACTAGCCGGACGCATTGTTGGAGGACAGAGCATTTAGGTTTGCTGCAACACTTGGGGTTTCCGGTAGTTTCGCCTTGTCAAGAAGCACTAAACTGTTTTTTAGTCGGCTTTATCACTACACAAGCAAGCGGTTACTGACGTTCGGAGACAGCTCTGCGTGATATTGTTTCTTGTAATTTTATTCTGATAAGTTAACACTAATGGTTCGACAACACGACGTTGATCCAATGGCGTAGGACCTCTCAACTCGACGCTTCGCAGTCAACTGTTCGAAACTAGATTGAAGATTGGTTTGCTAACTAGACACGTCGATATTTCTTCAGTTCTTTTTCTGCCTCTGCTCTCTGCCGCCTTTCCTCTTCCACTTCACTCTTTTCATCCCTCTCGCGCTCGTCGGCTACGTATCGCTTGCTCTCCCTCCCTCAACCAATTCATTGCTGCGCTCTCTTCGCGAGAGAAAAACCCGTTCTGCCGCAAAGCGAGAACGAGACATAGCTATGCACTTGCCATCTCCTTTTTTTTAGCTCTCAGCACCAATCGGCTACAGCAACAAAAATTGCAATGGTGGCGTATACGTAACGGTAATTATGGCGTTCATCATGCGACTGGTGTGCGAAAGGGATGGCGAGCGGGTGCGAGCAAAACGGGCGCTCCTCAGCGTGTAACGAGACTGTATTTAGTATTTTTAGTCGCTGCAAAGTTTACACAACTCCAAATGCGTCCACGAAGACGCTGGCAGCGGCAGAGGGGCCTAAAGCCCTTCAGCACCTCCCTTCGCATTAGCATTAATGACGACGACCCCCAAAGGCAGCCTGCGTTTAATTGTCAAGCGTTTGCAATTAATTTGCTGTAAGAAAAACAAACAATTAATTTGGGGGAAAACAAAAAAAAAAGAAGTAGGGAAAATATTTTAAATATAAAAGCAATTTCTTGTATTACTTGCTTCCTCCCAAACTGTTTATTAAGTGTTTATTTTGCTTCGAAAAATTGTCAGACCGATGGATTCTCTATTGGCTAACAATATTGTTTTTATCTTTCTGTTTCAGATTTGTGACATATGCAATTTGTATTGGGCTTAGCAACCGTTATTTAACTCGAAAAATGGGCCATTACCAAAAAAAACAATTTAAAAACCAATTAATACCACAAATTATAAAACCTTTAATAAACCCGCAGGGGATATTGCACTGGGCAATAATACAAGCACCCTGTATTTCTTTCTTGTTTGACTAACAGAAACTGTAAAAACTGTAACTAACACTAGATATATTTTTGTTCAAGTTTTTAAGTAAGTAAGAGATTACTTCTGTAGTTATAATTCAAAACTCGTACAAGCGCTCTTATCAATAAATCTCGCAAGTCAGACACAGAATCCCTTCTGCTTAAACATAAACCAATATTTGTTTATGTAAAATCAGCCAATTATACAGTTTAAAATGGTCCATCCATCAATTTATTGAACAGTAACAATTATTAACAGCTAGTGTTAGATATTACATTACGTAGCGATAACCAATTTAAAGCCAGTTCAACTGCTTGCGAAATTTTTTTAAAGAAGGATTACATAAAGCAAGCATGGATAAAAAAAATGGCAAAATTACCGCTGTTACAGTAAAAATACATTTTTTTTTTTTTTTTTTTTTATTTAACTTTGCTTTTATTTATTGAATCTTCTCTTAATTTTGAGACTAACAATAAGTTTACGAATCTTAACATTAAAATTTAACTAACAGTATAATAAGACTGCATTCTGGTTGCGCGTGCCTCAAGTCGGTCGCTGGGTGGGTAAGTCATTGCGACGAAGGCGTGATTGGTTGATCAACCTTGTAAGACCTCTCGCCAGGTGGTTAGGGTGCAACGATAGCTTGGTAAAGTACTTTTCCTTCTGTTCTGCGATCACTTCTTTGACTGGTAGAATGTTTAAGTCGCGATGTATGGTTTCGTTGCGAACGTACCACGGTGCCCCGGTGATTGTTCTCAAGATCTTCGACTGAGCTCGCTGGACTATGTCAATATTGCTATTGCTGGCATTCCCCCATAACTGAGAGCCGTACATCCATATAGGTTTTAGTACCGAGTTATACAGCAGGACTTTATATTCAAGACTAAGGGGAGACCGAGCGTTGATAAGCCAATGAAGGCTACTGGCTTTTAGCTTTAGGTGTGTTCTTTTGGCTTCAATGTGCCGGCGCCATGTGAGTCTTCTGTCGAGGTGTACTCCTAGATATGTCACTTCGTTTGCTTGCGGGAGTAGAGTATGGTTTAACATGAGCGGCGGGCAGTTTTGCCTGTTCAGGGTGAACGTAACGTGCTTGCATTTTTGTTCGTTCACTTTAATTCGCCAATCTGATAGCCACTTTTCTACATCGACCAGATGAAGAGCGAGCTGCGCAGTTGCTTGCATCGGGCATTTTGAGCGGCTGAGAATGGCTGTATCATCAGCAAACGTAGATGTTGTTAGTCGTGTGCTTGTTGGGATGTCTGCTGTGTAGAGGACATATAATGTTGGCCCAAGCACGCTTCCTTGAGGAACTCCAGCTCCAATAGTGAAATCGTCAGTTATAGCAGTGTTGCATCGAACAGCAAATTTTCTGTCGTAGAGGTAAGACTCTAGAAGCTTATGGGTGTTGTAGGGGAGCATTGTCTTGATCTTGAACATTAGACCTTCTAGCCAAACTCTATCAAATGCTTGAGAGACGTCTAAAAATATGGCAGTACAGTACTCTCGTTTTTCGAACGCGTTCCGAATTTCTGATGTTATCCGGTTGACCTGCTCAATTGTTCCGTGCTTTTCACGAAACCCAAATTGATGTGACGGAATTCCTTCCTGGATTCTTAGGTATGTGTTTATCCGAATCAATACGCATTTTTCAAAGAGTTTAGATAAGCATGAGAGTAGGCTTATAGGTCTATACGACGTGGGAATTGTGTGGTCTTTTCCTGGCTTTGCTATCATTATTATAATTGACTTTTTCCATCTCACTGGAAAGTGGCCTAGTTTTGCGATGGCATTAAAAAGCTGGGTGATAGTGCAAACGGCGCAATATGGGAGCTCAATGATCATTTTGGGAGTTATGAGGTCGCAGCCCGGGGATTTTTTCGGATTCAGCTGATTTTTGATGATGTTAGCGATTTCGTTTGGGCGAAACTCAATTGGTTCATGTTGAAGCTGAGGCTCATGTGGTAAAGTCGGCAAGGTGAACGCACTAGTGGCAGGATTTGGTTTGAAGACATTTTTAAGGTGGTTGGCAAACGTGCTGGCTCTGTCTGCATCGCTGCGCGCCCAGCCGCCTGTGGGGTTTCTAATAGGCATCACGGTTACTTTCGGTGAGCTTAGAGTAGGGTGAGCTCTCCATAGTGAGTGTTTTGTGCTAGATGTTGACAATTGCTCTATGTAGCGTCGGTGGACATGTGCTTCTTCTTGCTGTAAAGCTTTTGTGAGTTGACGTGAGGCATATTTTAAGCTTTGCCTAGCAGATGGTGATCTGTGGAGTTGCCACTCTCGACGTAAGCGTCGCTTTTCGAGGACGAGCTGTTCTATTTGTAGATTTGTCTTCTTTTGGTTGCTTTGTGTACTTGTAGTTTGGGGTGTTGAAACTCGAGCTGCAGAGACGAGTACAGACTCCAGTGTATTAACAAATCTGTCTACGTTGGCTTCATCGTTGAGATGAGGACTTAGCTCAATGTGTGAGCTAATGTATTTCTTGTACTTAACCCAATTGGTTTTCTGAGATGTCAATTTAAACGATTGCTCCAATGCGCCTGGATGTCGGAGAAGAATAAACAGGACAGGCGAGTGATCCGATGAAAGATCCGAGAGGCATTCGGCGCTTATCAGATTTTTAGAAATGTTTTTGGTAATTGCAAAGTCTATTAAATCGGGTAGTTTCCTTGGGTCTGCCGGCCAGTATGTTGGTCTGCCAGGAGAAACATAGTCCAGCTTGTTCTTGGCTTTTATAACTGCATTATAGAGCTGTTTTCCTTTTGGAGTCACGAGACGTGATCCCCAGTGTGTGTGCTTGGCGTTGTAGTCCCCTGCTGCTATGAAGTGGTCTCCTAGTGAGTTGAAAAACTGCATAAACTCATCTTCAGCTATGGTGAAGCGAGGGGGGCAGTATACGGCGGCTAGTGTAAGTTGGTTGCCAGTATTTGTTTGTATATTTATAGATGTGGCCTGTAGATAATTTTTAGCAAATTTGTTATGATAGTGGTGCTTAATACGGCTTCTGATTAGAATTCCAGTCCCACCATGTGCTTTACCATCTGGATGATTTGTTCCGTAAAATGAGTAACCTCGTAGTTGAAAATTGTATTTATTTGTAAGGTGTGTTTCTGAAAGCAGCATTACGTCGATATGGTTGTCGAGTAGGAATTGAGCTAACTCAAGTTTATGCTGTGAGACGCCGTTAGCGTTCCACGTAGATATCCTTAGGGAAGTCATTATTTGGATTGTTGTGAAACCAGCATTTGAATCAGTAGATTTTGGTTTCGCATTAAATCTTGCATAGTTGTGCGCATAAACGACATAAACTCCGTAAGGCTTTGCTGCAGGCTGTATATCATATCTTCGAAGTTGCTTTTTGACTGCTCCGGGAATTGTTGCTGCTGAGCCGTGTTCGGTTCTTGGTATGCTGATTGCAGAAATGAACTTTTTGAGACAGGGTTAGCCAGTCCTGATTTTAAAGCGCTTGCGTAAGTCACATTTTTATCAGAGTTTAAGGGTCCTAGTGAGGATCTGGCTGCAGTCGAGAAGAAGACTTCAGGGTTTGATCTGGAAGCTGTCATCTGTTTATTTTGGGTGCGGGCGGCAGTTCCTCTCTGGTGGATGCGACTTTTCAGCTCCTTGTAAACAGGGCAGCCTCTGTAGTTAGCAGTGTGATTGCCACCGCAGTTGCCGCACTTTTTCGAGTTGCAGTCATCTTTGCTCGTTGGGCAGTGTGCGGAGTCATGAAGATCTCCACAAACTACACACACCGGGCGCAGTTTACAGTATGACCTTGTATGGCCATATTCTTGGCAGTTCGCACATTGTACCGGGCCATTGCGTTTGTGCGGTTCCTCAACTGTAATTCTGCGGTGCAGCAGGAACTGAAGATTGTAAATGGGGTGCACTTCGTATTTCTTTAGGGGCTTATTTTCTGGTTCGAGCTCAACCTTAAAGAGTGGCTGCGGCTTTCTATCCCTGTTAAGGATGTTGAAGACTGTCTTAGCGTTAAATCCCTTCTCTTGAAGCGCCTTTGTTAT